CCCCCACCCCCGGTTGCCTCACCCCCACCCCCAGTTGCCTCACCCCCACCACCGGTTCACTCTCCACCCCCACCCGTAGCCTCACCCCCACCACCCGTAGCCTCTCCACCACCACCTTCTCCATCTCCTCCTCCAGTCTCCTCTCCACTGCCACCACTAGAGGACATCGTTCTTCCACCAAATTTGGGCTTCGAGTACTCATCACCGCCTCCACCATTCTTCCCAGGCTACTAAATAAAATGTGACAAATCATCGGACTCGCCTCTCTATTTTAACATTTTTATTTCTCAAAAAAAAAAAAAAAAAAAAAAAAAATCGTAGCTTCATTAATATCTCAATGTACCCTTTATCTCAACAAATGTCTTGCACGCCAAGGCATTGTAAATTATATCAGATATGCATGTTGCTATGGATAATTATCTACAACTATGTTGCATGCATTATGCAATACTTATCTATGTGTATATATATATATATATATATATAGATACACATTATTTTTGGTAATGCATTAAAAATAGCAAAAAATTAAGGAAAAAGGAATCGACCGTCCCAATTAGATGAACCTTATTCTAAATAAGGGAACTTGTTTTAACTTTTTTTTAATATTAAAGAAACAAACATTACTATGTAAGAATAATGTTGAATTAAAATTAAAATACCAATTCAAGAAACCCATTATTCCACCTTTGATCCATAAATGGTAATGAAGTCAAATTGAAAAATAGCTAAATACTACGTCTTCTTGTTAATAAAGATTTATTTATTTATTTTATTGTCGTATTTACTGTTTTCTTGCTATAAGAAGTAAGAACCTCCATGTCCTTCTGCAAGTGTTTTCTGAACCTCAGAGTTGAAAATGGCGGTCGCTACTGATCCGCTCGGCTGCATGCAAAAACTCGTCCAGATGCTTCAGGCTCCGCCGTATGTCGCGGCCGCCGTTCTGGGTGGTGTGTTGCTTCTGACGTTTTTCATCGGAGATTGGAGAAAGAGACGTCGGAGTCCTCTACCTCTGTTGCCGGGTAACGATCGGTTTGTTGTCGTCTCTGTTTTTGAACTATTGCTGGTTTGGGGAAAATGATGTGAAATTAACGATTTAAGAATTTGTGTAGCGATTCCGGGGATACCGGTGCTGGGGAATCTGTTGCAGTTGAAGGAGAAGAAGCCGCACAAAACGTTTGCTCAGTGGTCCGAGACGTATGGTCCGATTTATTCCATAAAAGCCGGCGCCTCCACTGTGATCGTTCTCAACTCCTCCGATCTCGCCAAAGAGGTATAAATCCCGGCCGTTTTCCGGCGAACCTTGCACTCCGAGTGAAAATTTTCCTCCGATTCTTAATTTGCTCTGTTCTGATCTTGCTTGATTCTTTAAGGCTATGGTGACGAGGTACTCTTCCATTTCCAGTAGAAAACTAAGCAAAGCCCTCACTATCTTGACTGCTGATAAATGCATGGTTGCTATGAGCGATTACAATGACTTTCATAAGCTGGTTAAGAGATACATATTGGCTAATGTCTTGGGGGCTAACGCTCAGGTTTTTGTTTTCAAAATTGTTCTTGTTCTTGTTCTTGTTCTGTTCATTTGGGTTAATTTCTAATAGTTTGATCTGTTTCAAGTTCAGAAAAGACTCAGACAAAGGAGAGACACCATGATAGACAATATTTCCAGAGAATTGTTTGCTTGTGTGAAGGATTCTTCATCAGAATCTGTTAATTTCCGAAAGATCTTTGAATCGGAACTCTTCGGGCTGGCGCTTAAAGAAGTGAATTCATTCTGTTCTTTTGCTGAATTCAGAACTTGATTGTAAATAGCTAACGTTGTGATTTCATTGGCAGACGTTTGGGAGGGATATGGAGTCGTTATATGTCGATGGGCTCGGTACTACGTTGCTGAGAGAAGATCTGTTCAGAACTTTAGTGATTGATCCGATGGAGGGTGCGATCGAGGTTGATTGGAGAGATTTCTTCCCATATCTGAGATGGATTCCCAACAAGGGTGTGGAGGATAGGATCAGGAAGATGGACTTTCGCAGGCGAGTGACGATGAAGAGCCTCATGGAGGAGAAGAAGAAGCAAATTGCAGCTGGGGAGGTAGTTTTTCGTTTGCTTGAGCTCAAATGAGCCTATTTATCTTCTCTGATGTAGAGAATGTATTGCAGGATTTGAATTGCTATTCTGAGTTCTTGTTATCTGAAGCAAAATCGCTCACAGAGGAACAGATATCCATGTTGCTCTGGGAGATAATCATTGAAACCTCAGACACTACTCTGGTTGTAACTGAATGGGCTATGTATGAACTTGCTCAAAATCCTAAACGACAGGCAATTCCTGAAGAACACTACCATTTCTGTTGTTTGCTGTCTGTTCAATTCTTAAATTCATCGAAATAAGACATCATTCTGTAAAAACCTCTTACATTGCAGGAGCGTCTATATCAGCATATACAAAGTGTGTGTGGATCTGCAAAGATTACTGAAGAAAACCTGTCACAGCTCCCATATTTGACTGCCGTTTTTCACGAAACTCTTCGGAAGTACAGTCCAGTCTCGATTGTTCCATTGCGATATGCACATGAAGATACCCAGTTAGGGGGGTACTTTATTCCTGCAGGGAGTGAGGTAAGCCAAGCCACGCTAGAACACGGAACCCCCAGAGTAATTTTATTTGGCAATGTCTGATGATGGTTCCTTTTTAGGTTGCTGTCAACATTTACGCCTGCAACATGGACAAGAAACAATGGGAAAGCCCTGAGGAATGGAAACCAGAGAGGTTTCTTGATGAGAGCTATGATCCAATGGACCTGTACAAAACCATGGCGTTCGGAGGCGGGAAGAGGGTGTGTGCAGGTGCCCCCAAGGCAATGCTGATAGCTTGCACTACCCTTGGAAGGCTGGTTCAAGGGTTCACTTGGAAGCTGAGGGAAGGAGAAGAAGACAAGGTCGACACTCTCGGCCTCACTGCTCGCAAGCTCCAACCACTGCATATCGTCGCCAAACCGAGAATCAACTAATGGAACTTCCTCCGCCATCCTGCAAGAACCTGGAATAAATAACTATTATGGGAGTCTTTGGAAACCATTAGTCTTTTGTTTAGTGCTGAAGAGAAACCAGTGTGTTTCAGATCAGTTTAGAAGTAATTATCCATTTTAGAAACAGTAGGTGTGCACAGATCGCATTGAAATAAAGAGTTCAACTTTTAGGTCAAAGATTTTCGTGCTGATTCTGACTAACAAGAGATTTTCAAATCAAGATTACTCCCCACAAAATTTTACTAACTTTCGAACTATATTCACGAACATATCGGTACTTCTGTATCGATACATTATTTCGACCACATAACATGAAATAGTACACTGAACTCAAAGTTGCTCTGCTCTGATGATGTTTCTTGATCAACTGGGTTTGAAGAACTTCAACTTAAGTCCACTGTTCACCAAACTCCAGATGCCTCCAATTGAAAAGGCTGATGTTTCTTGATCAACTGGGTTTGAAGAACTTCAACTTAAGTCCACTGTTCACCAAACTCCAGATGCCTCCAATTGAAAAGGCCAAGCTAAAAGCAATGCCCAGCCAGCCCAGTGTCCAGTGGAAGTACCAATTGAAACTGAACTTTGTAGGCTTTTTAATGAGTACCCACATGAAGCAAGGGTAAGCAAATGTGACTGGAAGAGTGAGTCCTCCTAGCAGACCAGCCAAACTAGAGAGGAAAGGAAGTGCTACTCCAATGAAGAAGTTGACAAATCCATAGAAAACACGGAAGCCAGAACGAACCCAGATGGAACAAGGACGGTTTGTTCGACTTGTGTAGCTAGCTTCGAAGCTGTCGAAAACGGGCATCGAGTATATTTGGAAACTGCTCAAACAATTGAACACCACTAGAAGGAAAGTAATGGCAAGAAGCCCTCTGGGAATATCATGGCTGTGAAATGCATATAAGGCATTGAGCATCCCTCCTGAAGGCATCTGTGAATGAAAAGCAGAAATGAATCGAAAAGGCGAATATCATAGTTTCAAAACAATGGCAAGAACAAAGATACTCACAAGGTTCCCATATGCCCAAAATCCTCCAATAGCAACAGGAAACAAGCAAGCTGCAATGAAAAAATAGCCAACTTTGGCTCCTCTCCACATGGGAACATGAGCAGGATGCTTAAAAGTTGAAGGCATTGTTGCCTGAGAGACATCAAAACAAACAAGATTCAGATACAATCACAAAGAGCAGCTCCTCAGTATCAAGTCTAGAAATGCAAAAGGCATACTTGAATTTCCAAAACCAAGTTATGGCCTCTGAAAGCAAAGGCTACGATTCCGAGCGCATTCATGACAGAGAAGACAGAAGAAGAAGGCGATGGCATCGAAAGGGGTTCGTATGAGATCGTCGGAGGCCTTTGCTGGCTAACAGAGAGGACCCAAACCATGGTGGAGTAAGTGATGGCAGTCACAGCTCCAATAAGGGAAAGTCCAGCAATTGAATTGAGGTTTGGGAGTTGAGAAAGAACAATACAGAGTGATGTAAATACAAGGTACCACTCAACAGTTGTTAAAGGATTTGAAGAACAGAGCGGCCCACATACTATTTGGAAGAAGAGTTTCATTGTCTCTCCTCCAATAAGAATCAATGCCGTTGCAGTTCCTGCTGATAAGTAGACAGTAGGAAACACAGCAAGCCATACTCCCAATCTTTCCCCTGAAGATCATACAACAAAATCCTTTTACCGATCTACTATCAAGAACGATTAGACGCCCGGCTCGAAAACTGAACCATGTATACTGAAGTTGTATGGAAATATTACCAAAGGCTGCTTCAGCAAGCTCCACATATCTGTTGTACCTTTTGCCTGGCACTGCCTCATGAAGCTGAACCAGAATCCAAAGAGTATAAAGTTGCCAGCAATAGGCTATTGTTAGTGACAGTATTCCCCAGCTCCTACAGAGTTACCACAAGAACAAAAAAAACAGACAATACCGAGTTAGAGATGGTTACATCAAACCAAATCTACCGTGAAATTGAAATCTTTGTCTCTGTCTCTCTGTCTCTTTCACTACACCCAGAAACTCAAAGAACCATTTGATTTGGGGACCATGACATGTAACATGCTCAATTATGGCCCATTACGTATCACTGTCAGCCTCATGATTTTAAAACACGTTTGTTAGAGATAGGTTTCCACACCCTTATGAAAGATAGGTTTCCACACCCTTATGAAAGATGCTTCGTTCCTCTGGGATCTCACAATTCACACTCTTTGGGGGCCAACGTCTTCACTAGCACAATTCCTAGTGTTTGGCTATGATACTATTTGTACCTAAGCCCACAGCTAGCAGATATTGTCCACTTTGACCTCTTACGTATCGCCGTCAGCTTCACGGTTTAAAACGCGTGTGTCAAGGAGAAGTTTCCACTCTTATAAATAATGCTTTGTCCACCTTTCTAACCTACATGGGATCTCACATTAACCTTCACGTAGTTTGAAAGCTCCTCGTATTCCTAACGGTTTAGTTGAACTTTCCAAGGAAATCTCTATGGTTGCGCATGTTCTTAAATATGGCAACGAGACAAGATGAAAAACATCATCCAACATCCAAACAAAACATATTAACGTTAGAATACTGTTAACATCTAATGATGACGAGACCGAATCATCAAAACTACAATAAAAGCTTTTAAAAACTATAGAGCCTGAAATTATGGGCAGGTGGAACAGCAGAGAAAGATTATACATTTATGTCTTAATACAGTAAAAAGCATCCAAAGAGAAGATGGCCCTCCAAGAACAAAGCTATCGCATTTTGCTTAAAATAATATAAGAAATAAGAGCAAAAGCAAAAGGTCAAGAAGTCCAGTCCCTCTTCAAATCAAATAATCATTAAGAGAACATTAGTGAATTGAAAACCTCGACCAAGTAGACCCCACAGCCCATTATCCTGTAGCAAAGTCCCCCACCAGCTTGATCCATGGTGGGTGGGAGAAGGCGAACCATGTTGCTAGAAATTAACATATAGTTCATCTAAACTGAAACCATGTTGGTACAGTAAGAGGTTCATGAAAATTAGCAAAAGGTATGAAAGCTTAAGCCCATAAGATTAAAGCAGCGTACCAGCCGAGGAAGGCGAAGGCGACGGGCAAAACCAGAGCCTGGAAGCCAATCCCAGCGTTGAGGTTATGAAACGCAGCGTAATGAGCATTGCCATTACGGGACTCGGTAATCGGAAGCCAAGCATCCTGAGGGTTAAGTTTGGTGAGATGACCCACCTCCTCCAAGTAACCCTTCATATTAATCAGCACCCTTTTCATGGGAGTCCCAATGGGGCTCAAAAACCTCGGCGAGATAAACGACGTCGGAGTCCACGCCGTCGAGGACTTTGCCTCCTTAGAGGGTGGCCTTGGAGAGCGCTGTCCCGTCGGCGTCAGAATCTCCGGCGTAGAAACTCGTGGGGTCGCTGGAATCGATATGAGCTCTGTCTCCGGCCTCTCCTCCATGGCAAAAGCAGAGCGTCGTTGATGTTAGCAGTTTTTTTCTCCTCTGTTTTGCTCAGCTGGGCTGCTTGAAATTAGAGATTGATATAGGGAATCGGATGTGGGGAGTGCAAATGATATTAGAAAGTGACTGATGGGTGGGAGGGAGCGTGGCGGAAAGAGAGGAGGTCAGGGGGTCTCAGGGGGGTCAGTCAATGATGGAAACATGGTGATTTTTGTCAAGTGTGCTGCTTTGGCTCCATCTTTCTGGACCAGAATATTGCCACGCGCCACCCATACTCCCACAACCCCCAACATAATAATTGAATCAAAACAGTTTCAAACCACAGAGAAGCCAAAAAGGAAAAAGGTAGCGCGTGGTATTTACGCGCGAAGAATGGGGATGGTAATATAGCTGTGAAGGGGACTGTAAGTATGGGAAAATGTACGAGATTTTTACAAAGGAGAGAGGTTTAGTGTCAGTGTCAGCAGGCCCCGACATGAGCATGTGGCGTGGCCTCGCGTGGCGTGGGCATCGAGCTTAGGCATGCGGACCCAAATTCTTCACCGTTTTGGGCCTCGGCTCTAAAATTCAACCCATCTATTTTGTTTCTCAGGTCTTATTTAATTTTTTTTAATTAATTGATAAATTCAAAAGCTTATGATTTAATTTGTAATTTTAAAAAGTTATTTACGCAATAAATAAAAATACTAAATTTGGAGAAGCGTGAAATGGGCCACATTTTCTATTTTCTCCCTCTCCGCCGAAAGAAACCCGGTTCGTCGGTCCGCCCTTCGGTTTTCATCATTTGGTCTTTCAAAAGAACAATAAAGGCACTTTTCTAAAATTAGATTAATATTATAATCTTAACCCTAAATTAAATTTAAAATTAAAAACATAGTTCAATTATTAAACTTTAATGGTTAAATATAAACCTTTGAAGAAAATAGGTTTGAATTGTGTCAAAGCTGCTTTGACATGCCGAGAGGAAGATCTAAGCTATGTCACCAACCAAGAATATGTTTAATTTATGACTAACGTAAATTTAAGGAAAACTAATGGATGATTTGTTGTCCACATGGCACGAAACGTGAAAAGTTGCTGGACAGATAAATCACTCACTAACTCGTCTCAACAGTAGCTCAAACTTGATACTAATTTAAGTTTTAGAGTGCACTGGAGTTGGACATCGCATATGAGTGTACAATTTTACTTACAAGCTGACAATATCACCTCGTCAAAAGTTACATATTAGCATTATCTAATTTGTTTATAAACGGTTGACCCCATTTACAGTTTAGGTCAAATTTGATTTGTATTATAAAGTGTTAAAATTAGGCAATTAGGTAATTTTGTTAAAATAAATGTTAAATTTTAGTCTATTTGAATTATTTGAAATTGGGGAAAAAAAAGAAGATAATTTTCCATTTCACAATTCATCGAGACACCGAAGGAAGGAGAGAGAAAGGACACACAGAGAAATTGGGAATACTGGGTCAGTTTGGATCCATGCTGATCGGTTTCAACGGGCCAAAGGCGATGACGATTCATCGTCCGACGACATTGCTGTTCTTGCTGCTTCAACTTCAAGCTTTTATGTTTTTTTACTCTCTATCAATTGCTTCGTCGCTGAATCATTCCATCTCTAACAGTGAGAACAATGCGCATTTCTTGCAGGTATTCTTTCCCGAGATCTTGAATTTGAGTTCCTAACACTAATCTCGGCACGGCATCTATGAAGATTTTGTTAATTTTATTGTTTTGATTAGGATGTTTTGAAGGAAATAGCAAAGAAGCAGGAGTGGGATTCGGAGGAAATCAGAATATTGAAATTGGATTTTGGAAATGTGAGATTTGGATGTGCGGAGAGCCATGAAATTCGTCTGGGATTAGGTAAAACTCGGCTGTTGGCAAAATTTTCTGACGAGGTGTCTTCGTGGAATAAGCCGAATTATGCTAATGCGACTAGCTTCAGCTCTTTAATTAATGGCATCGGTTCAATGGCTGCCATTAGGTCTTTCAAGATTGTGGGTCCTTTCGATTTGATGGTTGAAGAGGATGCCCATCTTTCTCTCTCCTTACCTGTACGCTCACTTCTTTCTACTTCAATCCTTTTCATCTTCTTCGCCTGCAAGCAGATGTAGGCTGTAGTAAGCAAAACTCGCATGGCTAGAATTTTGTTCTTTCATAGCTATAGCAAGCTGCAGAAGCTTGTTTATGAAATTAATTTGTAGAGATTATCGAGCAGAATTATAAACAAGAGACGATTTCAATTCTTAGGATTTTATCCACTTTTACAAATTCAAATAGTTCAGGCAAGAAATGTGACTAGGAACAGCGAGTTTAGTGGATGAGAATATCCAAGAAATTCCAACGTTTAGACTTTAGGGTGAAGTGAACATTGACGGAAGAGGATTTCCTGTGCTGAATGAGAATTATAATATTCTGTGGTCAAGATATCTTTATTTCATCTGTTATCAATGAAATTTCTCTAGTTCTGTTTGGATATATTTGTTCTTTTGTTACAATTTGTTATCAACGTGCTTGCTGGCTGGCTGCACCAATAATCTTGACATTGTTCTGTCTGTGAGGGTTAATTTGTTGGTTTCATTAATAATTCTTTGTATTTTGACTCAGAACAATGCTACTCATGTTGGTCTTAAACGAATTCTGGTGGGAGAAGGCATAACAGTAGAAGTTAGTGAAGCTGAGGAGGTGTCTGTGTTTTATTCGTCTGATCTTGTTCGTCTGCTGAACGAAACCAGAACAGGCAATGGAAAAACCAGGATTTACCCTTTCTGGCTTCCATTTTGCTCACCTTTGCTTCCTCTACGCATACTTGGATCCGCAACATTGTCTGCATATAGGACACGAAATCCTGATGATCATGTAAGAACTAGCTTCCTTTCCAAGGATTCAATTGAGTTATTGCCAGACAAGTGCTATGGTAGAAATACTTACACACAGAATTCTCCCATACTTGATTCCTTCAAATTGCGGTTTAATATGCTGGAAAGTATTCTTCAACGTTATCTGAGTAATAGGATCCTTCAAAATGGCCTGTTGGCTTTTGTTAAAGTTAAAATGAGAGCATCTGTTGTTGTTCGTTTTCAACTGGAACTTGAAAGTACTATTGGAACAAATAGTAGTCGATATGCTCGATTGGCAGAGTGGAGAACTAAGCCTACGGTTGAGCGTGCATCATTTGAAGTGATGGTTAGGCCTGATGCAGTGAGTTTGAAGCCTCTTGCAGTTAAGAAGTTAAGGCCTTTGATCGTGGCAGATTCAACTGAATGGAGGAATCTACTGCCAAATATATCCTTCACCAAGTTTCCATCTCTTCTCGTCCCTCCTGAAGCTCTAACGCTGGATGTCAAATGGTAATCAGATAAGTTTTCTTCAAGATTTTTTTTTCACAGTTCTAGGTAATATCACTTACTTGCCCAGCTTCCTTGTTCATATGTTTGGTAAATGTACATGGTAAATGAACTAAAGAAATTTCTTGCATTATGCTACTTGTGGTCACTAGTTAATAAAGCAATAGAAGCATCATATACTCTTCAGTTTTGAATGTAGAGAACAATGATACAGATATGTAAACAAATTCTGTGTAGATGCACATTTGCATTTCTGGCTTAGGTTATATTGGATTTTGCTGCTCCTTAGTTTTGTGCATAGATCACAACCTTAGTCCACCACTAGCAGATATTGTCCTCTTTGGGTTTTCCTTCCGAGCTTTCCATCAAAGTTTTAAAATGCGTCCACTAGGGAGATGTTTCTACACCCTTATAAGGAATGTTTCGCTCCCCTCTCAAACCGATGTGGGATCTCACATTCAATAACCTTGTAACTAGGAAAGAACCCAGCATGCTTACACGCTCTCCTTATGAGGCCTCACTTCACCAACTTGCTTCATCACCTCCACTGTCTTGTACCTATAACAAGATGCACACACTAAGTAGAATCCAAAGTATACAAGACTCAGCTGTGACAGTAGCCAGTAAAAATAGTTTAGATGATCTCTGTCCAGGTTACTACTAGCCAGCCACCACTTTCCTTGATCACCACCTCCACCACCACTGAGCTGGTGAAGTATCCAATTGCCTTTGAATTGATGGAGTGGGCACATCAAAGCCCAGAAAACTCGAATATGTGATTTCCTGCTCGATTGTGAAAGTCTGGAGTTGAGCCGACTATGAGTTCATAAACACAGTGCTGACTACAATTGGAACCATTCGGATCTGTATCGCTAATAACTGCAGTTCGGTCCAAGAATCTGGGGAACTCATAGCCATTTTAATTAGAAACACAGAACAACACACAGCTTGGAGTCATGGAAGAAAAGGGTAATTTTCAGTTTTCACCAGAATACCTGAACTGCTCTGTTCTTTGAACTTCTTTCCATTCCAATCTGTTGTGGCTCTTTCCCTTGCAGAGGCAGAGTTCATAGCGTTGTCTGAAGCGATCACAGTAAGGATATTTTTATGATGATCAAAGTAGTACCCATTTTACTTGTAAAAGAATAATTAAATTGATAGGGTGCAAGCAGAAGTACTTCAACCGTGCGGCGTCGTAACCTTGTGGTCCTGACGCGCATGACAAGCCTTGAGGAAAATCTAAGCCCCATATTCATTTTTATTCCAGTTTTGTGGTTTCGTTAAACTTTAGACGATGTTTATTTTTACCAATCGAACACAACTTGTGTTGAATCTAAACTTGTTTGGCTATACACACACGCCACCTGCACGTGGATGTTCAATCGTTTTTACCCTCTATGTAATGAATAAAACAAATATTAAATTACAGATTTTGAGTATTATTTATAAATTTTAATTATTTTTGGAATTATTTGGAGGAAATGTGCAATTTTAGTTGAAGTAAAATCGGTAGACAGAGTGATAGGACCCATGTGACCCGTTACACAAACTTTATTTTAAATTTGGTAAAAGGGCTCCCGGTTTTGCCAGATTTCCAGATGGGCCCCCAATGAGGGCGCCATTATTTAAAATATTTATAATTTAAACCCCTTTTCTTTAAATACTTCAATTCAACCACGCCTATTTACTACGCTCCATCTTTTACGAATTATGGGAATGGCGGATCCCCGCGTGGCCCTCACGTGACTGGCGCGAAATTTGAAATCTTTGCTGTGCTGCCCTTATCCCTTGTAACGTATTTCCGCATGTTTCCCCTATTTTTCTAAATTATTACGAATGTGCCATCGTACATATATTACATATATACACATACATACAAAGGACAGTAAGAAACGGACAGTCCCTAAAATTACCAAAAGGGTATCCAAAAAAGGAGAAGCAATTATGAGACAACAGTGAATAAGAGGAGCTTTTGGTCCTTTTAAAGCCTTTAATTTCCATTATTTTTAAAGTTGGACTAAAAATTCCTATATTTAATTTAAAAGAGTGAATGAAATTTTAATTGAACAGAAAATAAATAAATAAAAATTTGGTAAGGAATTGATTGGACGTGCATGGGTACCACCGTCCTTTCACCATTTTCTTTTTCATAATAATTCACCAACAAAAATTCCCTAACTGTTTAATTAAAAATAATTTCCCATAAAAAAAGTCAAAAATAATAATTATTATTATTACCGATATGACCCCTCCCTGCTATTTCTCCCATCTTCCATTTTCTAATTATAGTTCTCAAGACATCTTTATATTCATAATACTTTTAAATAAAATAAATAGCTTTAATTATGTTACAATTTTGTATGCCTTTTAACTGTATTTCTAATTAATAATAAATAAATAAAGAGATTAAGAATTATATTTTTTTTATTTTTTACGACCGTTTAGTTTGTTATAATATTTAAATAAATCCTCGTATGACTCTACTAATTAATTTACGACCATCCTATATACATTAATAAATTTTAATTCTTTATTAAATATTTGAAATGACAAGAGTAGGCCGCATGATTCCGATTTTTTTTTTTTTTTTTTTTTTTGTTTT